TAAATTAAATTAAATTAAATTAAATTAAATTAAATTAAATTAAGAAATTCATAGTCATAAGATGCTAAAACAAATGAGGGAAGTAAAGCAAATAATGCTGGACACGAGGGACAGAGACACAGATGGAGTAATTTCAATCGATAGCCTAATGTGATAATCTAATAAGCATAAAACACACAGCGCACACAAATACTGCATAAACAGTCCATTTCTATTTTTGATCTATTTTTTATCAATACTTTTTAGAATTAAATGAATTAAGGATATAATCTGCATTTCTCTCATCCACCTGCTTGCATGGATTATTTTCACTAAGCGTGTAACAATGCATTCTGGGTCTGTTGTCTCTGCAAAAAAGACAGAACACCTTAAAATACTGATGTTTGATGCCTTAAAATACCACCTAGGTAGGTAGCTCACTATATTTGGATCTCAGATTCAAAAATCCATGTGCATCTTGAGTTCAGCACTCAAAACAGAGCTCAGCGTAATCAAATCAGCCACCGCAGTGTTTGCAATTCAAATGCATTGTGTGCAAATTTAAAACATATTACCCAACATACTATGCATCACGCCCTCCGGCCCTTATAAATTCTTCCACAGTCTCTAAGTGACTAGTCAGAATGATCTAAAAATATCAATGGAGTAACAAAGGTACAACTATTTGACCTTTAACTGCCGAATGCAAATGAAATCATGCAGGAAAGATCAGGTCGCAATATTCGAGCGACGCCACACATCCGCAGCCTTTCTGAAATGCTCGACAGTGCAGCAGAGATAATTCTTTCCGATCGGCAGAAGCACAATCATCAGTCCGACAGCGAGGACGGAAAAGCCCTCGTACCGTCAGACACGTGGCGTATCCATTCCCCCGGCCTCACATTTGCATGTGTTAATGGCTCGGTGTGCATTCGCGTCCATCTGTACCAAACCCTCGCTTATGTAATATCAATATCTCATAAACAGGCCCAGATGCAATCTGCACACTTATTTTACAGTAGTGCTCACCGTCTAGATGGAGAAATCTCACAGGATTTGCGTTTGCAACTGAGCTGAGGGTTGATATTCACATTTTCTGTGGGAAAATCTGGATTTAAACAGAAAAATTACACTACTGTTCAAAAGTTGTTGTTTTAAAAAATACTGTTATTCAGCAAGGATGCATTAAATTGATCAAAAATGACAGTAGAAACATTTAGAATGTTACAAAATACTTCTATTTTGTAACATTACATCAGTGCAGCAAATCAGCATATTAGAATGATTTCTGAAGGATCATGTGACACTGAAGGCTGGCGTAATGATGCTGAAAATACTGCTTTGATCACAGGAATAAATTACATTTCACAATGTATTCACATATAAAACAGTTATCTTAAATTCTAAAACTATATCACATTTTTACTGTATTTTTAGTCCAATAAATGCAGCCTAAAATTACCAAACCCAAACTTTTGAATGCTGGAAACCTGTTCGGAGAGAATCATTATTTTTGCAATTCTATTCGGTGCCACACATTTCAGCTTAAAATGCATCTGTGATGGAAATCTCAATCTCACATTTGGGGCTTCACAGGACCTAGCGAGTTATTGAGATCAATTACCCATGAGCCACTGAGCCGAACAATTCACCCCAGATGCTCCAGGGGAAATTAGTGCACATGAAGACTTTGATTAAAAACCATCCACTAAATAATAAATGCATCACAGGTCTTTCAAATAAAAGCATGCATGGTGTAATGACCCATTAATTATGTTGGTATGCATCCAAATCAAAAGAAATAATTGTAATTACTTTATCAATTTGTGTTTTTCGCTGTTTAATCAGCGCAGACTAGTTTCAAACAGAGTAAATGGTCTGAGTTAATCAGAGACGGTGTAAATATGACCCTTAGCAATAATAATGCAGGTTTTAGCAGCGGTGCTTTATGAAACATGTCTGACATGAGCGTTGAGAGACATTTCAAACAACAGCCAATATAAACACGCAATTACAAACCAAAAAAAAATGAATTTTAAAACTATATAGACTTATTTTAAAGCAATAAAAAACTAATAAAAATAAACACAACAAAATTACTAAAAATTGACAAAAAAAAAAAAATTACCTCTAAATTACTAGTTTTTTAACCAATAATTTCTTCAGATTTTTTTCACTTAAAAACTTAACTCTGCTTTGAGACCCAATGACAATAAAAAACACCTCAATATCTTTCCACAAGGTTCAGCTCGTTTTCTTTAAAATGTCAAGGTGCTTTGAGCCGCAGCATGAAGCCAGTGAGAATAAAACGAGCTCCAGCACTCACCACGAGGTTCCCGATGACCATGACCAGCATGAAGACCAGGATGCAGAGCGGCTGGCCCGCCACTTCCATACAGTCCCACATGGTCTCGATCCACTCTCCGCACAAGACCCGGAAAACGATGAGGAACGAGTGGAAGAAGTCCTTCATGTGCCAGCGGGGCAGCGTACAGTCCCTGGAGATCTTGCAGACGCACGACTCGTAGTTCTTCCCGAACAGCTGCATGCCGACCACGGCGAAGATGAAGACGATGATGGCCAGAACCAGCGTCAGGTTCCCCAGAGCGCCCACCGAGTTCCCGATGATCTTTATGAGCGTGTTCAGCGTCGGCCACGACTTCGCCAGCTTGAAGACTCTCAGCTGAAGGAGAAGGAGAAGAAGAGTTGATTTCAACGACATTCAATATAAAACGCTGATAACACAGTCATGCTGAGATGTGAAAAAGGCCTAATATGACCTAATTTGATGATGCTGAGTTAATACAAAAACAAACAAATCAGTAAAAACTTTATCACATAGTTTTTTGATAAATTAAGAATGAAGATTTTTTTACATTACTGTAAATATACAGTATGTATACCTACTGTATGTATCAGCTTTAATGCACTTATAAAAATAAAAAAGCAGTCAAAATGAAGTATTGAAATTTTAAATAAATAATCAAGTTTTTAAAGAAGCATTGAAAATTTAAATAAATTTTAAAAAATCACTAAATCTGTCATTTTCTGTGGCACTTTGGATGTAAAACAGAAAAAAAACATCTGGGTCATGTCTGCATTTTCTTCCATCACTGGCCATAATTGTAAAATAATTAAATAATGTCTTCAGAATCATTCATACATGTTAAAATTGGCTGAGAATTTAATAAATTGAAAAAAGAAAAGAAAAAGAAATCACATCTTCCTAGCTAACAAGAAACGTTCTCTCAAAGTTATGAGCAAATGTTCTTCTAGTAACGTCCGTTCAAAGTTATCTAATCTTTAATAATGTTCTCAAAACATTACTTATACATTGTTCGTGGAACTTTTTTTTTTCAGGTCGATGTTCATGTAACATTTTTTAAATGTAACTACTTGTTTCAGAATGTTCAGAGAACATTCAAATGTAACAATCCCATAATGTCTGCAAAATGATCAAATGGAACGTTCCATTAACGTTCGTATAATAATTATTAAAATAATAATTATAAAACACTTTAAAATGGATGTTTTGATTGTTCAGAAAACATCAGAAATAATGTGTTCATAACTTAGAGGAACACTCCACTATTTTTGAAAGGCTCATTTTCCAACTCCCCTAGAGTTGAACAGTTGAGTTTTACCGTTTTCGAATCCATTCAGCCGATCTCCGGGTCTGGCGGTAACACTTTTAGCTTAGCTTAGCATAGATCATTGAATCTGATTAGACCGTTAGCATCTCGCTCAAATATGACCAAAGAGTTTCGATATTTTTCCTGCAGCAGGCGCAATGATATTACGCAGCGCCTGAAAATAGGCTAACATCCGTCAACATAACCAACGTGACCTCCTGCTTGCACAGGGAGCGTGCTGTGGACTATTTCAGGCACTGCGTAATATCATTGCGCCTGCTGCACTCATGGTACGGCAGCAAAGTTCCTTGATTATTACGCCGGGATGAGAGTATAGTTCCTAGCCATATCGGCCTAGAAAATCACAACTTTTCATTTTCCGTCGGTCTTAGTACACGATGTAACTACAGAAGAGTCAAGTTTTAAATAGGAAAAATCTTTGGTCATATTTGAGCGAGATGCTAACGGTCTAATCCGATTCAATGATCTATGCTAAGCTAAGCTAAAAGTGCTACCGCCAGACCCGGAGATCGGCTGAATGTATTCGAAAATGGTAAAACTCAACTGTTTAACTCTAGGGGAGTTGGAAAATGAGCCTATTTTCAAAAATAGTGGAGTGTTCCTTTAATGGGAAAGTTAGCAAAACATACTTAGAATCTATATTTCTTAGCTGGGTTTGTAGCCGATTAAGGAAAACAGACTATTTTTGAAATCAGCATCCCAAAACAAACAATTATTGGCTTTCATTCAACAAATTTTCTATGATGCAGAGTCTTGTAAGAATGACAAACAAATACAAATGCGAGAAGAAAACAAGCTGTGAGCTCTGAGAGTATTTTTTGCGTGTTTTACCAGTCTGAAGGAGCGCAGGACAGACAGACCCTCCACATTGGACAAACCCAGCTCCATGAGGCTCAGACTCACGATCAGACTGTCAAAGATGTTCCAGCCCTGCTGAAAGTAATAATACGGATCCAGAGCGATGATCTTCAGGACCATCTCCGCTGTGAAGATGCCTGTGAACACCTGAGAAGAACAGCAGCAGGCTGGTGAACGTCTTCAAACTGTAGATTTACATTCATGCATCTGACAGACGCTTTTATCCAAAGCCACTTTCACTAAATGTAGATTTTAATGCAATCTTCGGGAATCAGATGCAACTGAACTGTTTGAGCTACAAGAATGCTTATATTTATGTACATTATGTAAATAAACATATACATATTGTGTAAAGAGTGTATAAATAATTGTATAAATGTAAAAAAATATATTCTTAAGTGAATGTATAAATATAAATAAATATATACATGTGAATGTATAAATAACACATTTATTTTTTACCGACAAAAACATGGTAAATGTTTATTATGCTATTCTTGGTCTGCTGAAATTAACAATACATACATTTAAGTAATATTACATAAAAATGAATGAATTTAATAGTCAGTCAGGCTTCATTTTCATTCATTGTCATGCAAAATATAATTTTTTATTTATTCATACATTTATTCTACGCAGTTATTATTGTTAACTGAAACTATCATAAAAAATTTAAAATAAAATAAATAAAAAAATATAAAAAAATACTTCTAAACTTCTAAATAAAATTTCTAAAATTTTAAAACTGAATTAAAAATATATTAAAGCTAAATAAAAATAAACAAAACTAAAAACTAAAAATGACAAAAGCACATAACAAAATTGAGTTTTAAATGTAGCAAACAATATAGATTTTTATCCTGCTCATTTTAATCACTAACTAAAACTATAAAATGGATCTGACCTGTTTATGTAACATTGATTTATTTATTTTTTTCTACTTAATTTTTATGTACTTCAGAGTACTATACAATTATTGGCAGTTGAAAGCATAATTTAATTAAGCAAAATGTTTAAACGAACAAACACAGAAGGGGCGGGGCATGTGTAGAACTTTATGAATGACAGGCGGTTTGCTCTTTGTTGCCATGGCTACAAGATGCGTGTATCTACGGCAGCTGTTTGCTCTGTTTCTTGTATCTGGGAGCCGAGCGTTTGGATGTGACTGTGATACGTGACACAGCAGCAGGAAACATCTGAGGCAAACACGTCCTGTGAAGAAGATCAGCTCTGCTTCTGCCTCACATCCTCTAATTACCTCTTTAATCTAACCAATAAACTGAGATCTGGAAGAACATCTACGGCCTCTTTGAGGGCGAAGCTCATGAAAACACGCTCAGGTCACATTTCAGCCCACCAAAAAATGTTAAAAAAATTTAAATCAAGATATTTATATATTTTTTTCTTTTAGAATAAAATATGAGCAGGACATGTTCTTGACTTAGAGTCTTAGAGACATTCACTCAGTGAAGAAACAAGGAAGAAAAATGTTAATGAAATAATAATTGTAATAATAAGTATAAGGAAAATATAATTTATATTATATATTTAAATACTTATTTTTATCTTTATATTTGCTTTTGCTTTTATTTATTTATTTATTTATTTATTTATTTTCCCTGGAAAATAACATCATCCTATTTGAAGGTGAATCTCATGAAAGACATTCAGGTCACATTTAAAATAAAATAAAAAATAAAATAAAATAAAATAAAATAAAATAAAATAATAA